TATCCTTCCTACCTTTATGTACCTCTATCTTCCCTAGCACCCCTCTCTCCCCATTGTGAATTAGCATCCAAAGAACCTCTATCTTCCCTAACACCCCTCCCCCCACATTGTGAGTTGGCATCCTTATACCAGAGAAAACATTTGGGCTTGGGTTTTTTTTTAGGGATTGGCTTATTTTATTTAGCATGATATTCTCCAGTTCCATTCATTTACCTGTGAAATAATTTCACTTTTCTTTAAGGCTGAGTAATATTCCATTGTGTATATATACTATATTTTCTTTATCCATTGAAGGATGCCTAGGTAGATGTATGGACCTTTATTTTTATTCGTTTATTTATATGTGGTGCTGAGAATTGAACCCAGTGCCTCACACATGCTAGGCAAGCGCTTTACCACTGAGCCAGAGCCTGAGCCCCTTAAGGATGCCTGGGTAGCTTCCATAGCTTAGCTATTGTGAGTTGAGYTGCTATAAACATTGATGTGGTTGCATCACTGTAGTACGCTGATTTTAAGTCCTTTGTGTATAAACCATGGAATGGGATAGCTGGGTCAAATGGTGTTCCATTCCAAGAAGATCAACAAAATTGACAAAACTTTAGCTGGAATGATCAAGAGAAAAAGGGAAAAATCAAGTAATTAAAGTCAGGAGTTAAAAGAGGATGTCACTACTTAATTGATGTTACAGGAACAGATTATAGAGGAATACTTGGATTAACTGTATGATGACAAATCAGATAACTTTGATGAAATGGACAAATTTCTAGAAAGATATAAAGTGACTCAAGAGTAACAGAAAATCTGAATAGATCTATAAGAAGAAAAGAGAATACGTTAGTAATTAAACTTCCTATGCACTCAGGCACACACACATGCACATACCAGGGAGAGATAACACCTAGAGCTCACTGCTGAGTTCTCTCAAAGATTTAGGGAAAAATCGAAAACAATTATAAACTCTTGCAAATAAGAGGAAGGAATGCTTCCCAACACATTCTATGAAATCAATTACCATATCACCCAACACTAGGATCAGACAAAGACATCACATGAAAATAAAACTGCAGTCGAATATTCTTAATAAACTTTTTTTTGATCAAACATTTTTTGGTATTAGGGATTGAATCTAGAGGTGCACTACCACAGGGCTTTATCACCAGCCTTTTTAAAAAAATTTCTTTTTTAAATTTTGAGAGTGTTTGGCTAAATCACCCAGGCTGGCCTGTGATTCTCCCACCTTAACCTCTCAAGTATTTGGGCTTAGGTGTGCACCATCACACCTGGCTCTAGATATAAAAATCTGGAGCAAAGTCCTAGTAAATAGAATCCAGCAACACATAATGAGAATCGGCAATATACCATGACCAAGTGGCCTTTCTGCTGGGAATGCAAGGTTGGTTTTTCATCTGAACAATCCATCAGTGTAACAAATCGTATCACTAGAATGAATGACTACATCATAATCTCACACAGAAAATTGTACTTGACAAAAACACAACACTCTTTCAAATTAAAACCAGTGAAGAGTCTAGGAATAGAAGGTATGGTAGATTGAATGGTGCTTCCCCCAAATATGTCCATATCCTAGAATCTGCGAATCTGACCTTATTTGGAAAAGGGCTTGTGCAGACATAAGTAAGTGTCTAGAGATGAGATCAGTCCTGGATTATTAGTGTGCCCTAAGTCTAGTGACATGAGTCTTTATAAGAGACAGAAGAGGTTCAGAGACACAGGGAAGGAGGCCATGTGAAGATGAAGGCGGAAATGGGAGTAATGCAGCCATAGCTGAGGAATACCTAGAGTCACCAGCTGCCAGAGAGGCAGGAGAGGGTCCTCTAGAGCTGTTGGAGGGAGCGTGGCCCTGCCACACCTTGATTTTAGACCCCTTTCTCTGGAATTGTGAGAGAATACCTTTCTGTTGTTTTTTGGCAATCTGCTATAATGCAGAGGGGGACTTCCTCAACCTAATAGCAGGCACCATGGAAAACCCACAGCTAACCTCATCCTGGTATGAAAGACTGCTTCCCTTCTAATATCAGGAGCAGGACAAGGATGGCTGCTCTTTCCATTTCTGTTCAGCATTGAAGAGGAGGTCTTAGCCAAAGAAAAACCCAGCACAACTAGATAAAGAGAAAGGCAGGATTTAAAATTGATTCATAGGTGAAAAATATGTGAATCCCGCTATTGCTGGGTCCATTTTATTATCCCAAATGTCTTGAGGCTTTGCTTTCCTTGTTGGCTTACTTCTCGGACAGTCTCCAAAAAACAGCCACTAGGAACTCCAGGCTTCCGTCCTTGGCTGAGCAACGCGAGCAGAAGGCAGAGCACCTTCTGCCTGGATGCTCCAGCAAAGGTCCTGGAGCTGCTGCTTGTTGATCTGGCTGGTGTCCCCAGCCCATCAGTGACCCGATGACCATGGCCAGACTGCTTTTGGGTTCATGTTCTGGTTGGCTAGATTTTTTTTTTTCATGAGGAAGCATTTGACTGGAGCTGTATTTTGAGAGAGTTTCTGTTATATTTGGTGGATACTTTGGCTGGGATTATAAAAGTTTTAAGAGATGAGATTTCTGCAGGAATTGCTCTTCTGTTTTGGACAATGACTCTTGCAGAGAGGAACACTGAGGAAATCTCACTGTGACCTGCTATGGCTGACTTCACTTTTTGGCTGGAATGGCCATTGACGATTTTACTTTTTGAGTAAATTAGTCTGAGATCACAAATCTCAAATTTGCAAATTTGGCCTGCAGGTTTGGGTCTTCCTTTATTTTAGAATGTTGTCTTCTATTATGTCTTTGACTACTTTTCTGCTTTACCCGTTCTGTTTTCTTCTTCAGGAGCCCCTAGTAAGTGCTTATTGGTGTCATGTATCTGTTCTTATGACCTATCTATCATGTTACTGAAAGAGATGGTTTGGTTTGTTTGTTCTGTATATCTTTCTAACATTGTCTTTCCTGTTTCTACTTCTTTTGGTTCCTTCTAAGCAGTTTTACTTCTTTAAATATTTTTCTTGCTTTCTTCTGTTTCTCTCCTGAACTCTTGACTTTTGATTATCCACTTTAACTCTGCATTGGTCTTTTCAAAGAGTTCATCTTCTTCTTCTTCTTAAAATATTCTTTTAGTTGTCAATGGACTTCATTTTTTTGGTTCATATGTTTTTTTTGTTTTTTTTTTTTAATTTTTTTTAGTTGTAGGTGGACATGAAACCTTTATTTTATTTGTTTATTTTTATATGGTGCTGAGGATGGAACCYAGTGCCTCACACATGCCAGACAAGTGATCTACCACCAAGCCACAACCCCAGCCTCTTCATGTTCTTTTTGAATTCTTTTGAAATCTACAAGAAAACTCTTGCCCTGCCAGGAGGATCGTGAGTTCAAAGCCAGCCTCCGCAACTTAGCAAGGCCCTAAGCAACTTAGTGAGACCCTGTCTCTAAATAAAAAATAAAAAGGGCTGGGGATGTGACTCAGTGGCTAGGTGTACCTGGGTTTAATCCCTGGTAACAAAAAATAAAAAGAAAGAAAAGAAAACTCTTGCCTCCCACCCAAGATTAGAGGCGGGGATAATGTAAACATTCAGGATGCATGAAAATAGCACTCAATTATCTCAGAATTATTTATTTTTTCATAAAGTACTTAGAAACATCATTTTTGAAGTTTGGTTAACTTACAATGGTAACTGTTTAAGTAATGATTCTGTTTTTCATGAGTATTCCAAAAATATCATTTTAAAAAAAATCAGATCCAATGATTGTCTTAATTTGGATTACCATAACAAAATTCCATAAACTAGGTGTCTTAACCTGCAGAGGTTTACTTCTCATACTTCTGGAGACTGGAAGTGGGGTTGGTGTCTGGTTTGGGCTCCCCTTAGGTTGTGGATGGCTGTCTTCTTGCTGTGTCCTCACATGGCCTTGCCTTGGCTCAAAAGCTCTCTGGAGTCTTTTCTTAGAAGAGCACTAATCCCATTATTAGAGCCCCACCCTCATGACCTCATCTAAGCCCAGTGACCTCCCACAGGCCTCATCTCCAAACAGCATCAAATTGAGGGTTAAGGCTTCAATATATAAGTTTTTTTTTTGTAACATAATTTAGTCCATAGCACTGAGGCACTATTATTTTACCAGGTGACAATACCTAAATTGTATAGAGAATCTAAAGTTACAGACATCTGCTTTACTTACTGTCCTTAGTTCCAAGGAACTAAGAGCCGACTTTCCTCTTTAACAAGCTTGGCTCTCGTCCAGAGAATACACCCTCCCTGGGGTACAGTAAAGCAAAGTGAAGGGAATCATTCTGCCTCCTACTCCTGAGGGATAGCTGAGGACAGAGGGGGAGCCCCACCCTGGGGGAGAGTAAAGGCTCTTCTTCTGGGGCTACCTGGGAGTGACTGTGCCGTTATGGAGATAGCCGGGTCTTCAGAAGCTAGAGCACTCAGGAGTGAACCCCTACATTACTATGAACTATGCCTTTATCCCCCAACAGCTCCTAGAATTAGTCCCTGGCAGTTTTTATGTGAGTTAAACCTACTGCAAGCCGAGTTGTAGGCTCTTGCTATTCCTTGAGACAAGAGGCTTCAACCTATGCAGGGAACTGGCTGGCGACCATAAAGGAATATCTCATTAAATGACATTTGTTTGAAGGGCCAGTCCCCTTAAAAGGGACCCCTACCATTGTGCTACTTCCCAGTGCTGTTGTGAAGGTCAGTAGCTACTGTTAATGGATACCCATTCTAGCATCTGGATGCTAGGCACCAAGTTGTCTAACAATATACATTGGCTGTGTCCYCTGGCAATTCACTTAACCATGGAAGGAATAGAGGTTCCGTGAGGTTGGATAACTTTCCCAAGGTCACACAGCTAGTACTTAGCAGAGCTAGGGTTCAAAAATAGATCTGTCTGACCTCAGAAGTCCTGCACTTTCCATTAGGCCAGATGACAAGTGCTTAGAAAATAGAAAATGGTGTTGATGATGTTATGATTTACACAGAAGGCAAGCTAGCATTGAATCAGTACTCATCCTTGGGAGGAGCCATTGCTGATGCTGTTAGCTGGCTATGATCTGGCCATGCCTMCCGGATATCCCATCATATTCCTTCTGGACGTACCTCTGGGATCCAGGAGACACTGGTTCTGATGCTGCTTCTGCTGCTCCAAAGTTCACCTTTTACTCTCCACAAGGGTAGGCTGTGCAATGGAGGAGTGCTCTGTGCCCTGCAGCGTTGGCTCTGAGCTCCATGGAGACGTTTGTCAGGAAGTATCCTGCAAAGATGGTTCTCACTTCCTTGTTTGACKGGGTTCCTAATAATTGCCACCACTAGTTGAATACACCTGCGTGCTCTTCTTTCAAGGAGGTTTGCTGAAAAGGAAAGGAGAGAAATGGAGTGGCAACTGGAGGGAAAATTGGGGTTAGGAGAGGTAGGAATTTTTTTTTTTTTGATGCTGGGGATCAAAAACTCAGGGCCTTGTGCACGCTGGGCAAGCACTCTACCACTGAGCTACACCCCCAGCCTGCAGTTGTTTTCTTTAATAAAAAAGTTAATAAAAGCATGTATGTATGCTGAAAGAATTGATCTTGTAGAGAAGGGGACACGTGATGAAGTGGGAGAGGGAGAAGACAGAGATGTGGCTGAAGCCATGTCCTTGAGTAGGCAAGAGGGGTCTAGTGCACAGGTGGCAGTTGGCTGTAATTGGACACCTTGTGGGAATCTGGGTCTCCTGTACTTATGGGACCCTCCAGGTTCTACCTGCTAGGAGGGAGGTAGCAGCCTCTGGGAAGGGGTCCTCTGGCTTTTTCCATAGGCAGACTGAATCTCTGGTGGCCCTGTGCTTCCCGATGAGGGACCTGAGATGGGCTGAGTGACCTCTTTGGGCCTCAGTTTTGGTCTCTGATAAAATCCAGGTGAGGCCTTTTATTTTGCCCAGTCACAGCAAATATTAAACAAGAGAATTCAGACAGAACCCCGGGCCTGGAGAACGAAAGCGATTTCATCACCGAGAGACAGCCATGGTTACCATTTCCATGTGCTTTTTGTGCCAGTCTTTTTCCCCAATATAGAAATAAATACTTAAAAATAGTGCCCTTCATGTATAGTTCTGTAACATGCTTTTAGCACTTAAAATATATTAAGGACAAATTTCCATGGCATTATATGGCTTTCTATAACATCATTTAAAAAAGATATATGCAGATCATTCCAGTAGGTGGACTGACAGTCCCTTTTAACCAATTCCCATTTTAGACACTGTGTGAGTTGTTGCTTACTATCTTCTACTATAAATAGCACTGTTTTGAACTTCCTTCTGGCTATATTTTTACATCCATCCATGGCTATTTCCCTTGGAAAATTCCATTTGTAGCAGTGACATTTCAGCTGAGTTGTGGATGAGCTCTTTCACCTACCTGCAGAGGTGGATTTTGGGCAACGGTAGAGAGGTGAGCAGAGAAAGAGGAACAGCAAGACCGCTGGTGCACGGGCTGCTGTCTTCCCTGGTGCAGGACTTGAGGGGCGAGAGATGAATTCTGGATGTGGTCAGTCCCCTCCAACAATTTAATTGCTGCCCTGGTTGAAGACACGAGGACAAGCTTGTCAAACATGAGGGAGCCTTGGGGTTGAGGGGGATATGTTGAATGACACAATCAAGATGCCCAAAAACCCTTCCTGGCAGAGAGAAAGGGCTAGAACAGACAGGATAAATTGAAAAGGGAAAACTGCAACGTGTTCTGAGTGCAAATGTTTTTGAAATCTAGGCCATCTAGGGGAGACTTGTTTGGACATCAGGTCATCCAGAAAGACACAGGGTTTGGTGTGATGTGATTCAACCTCAGGTTGTACCAATCTGAGTGTAGTTCAGACGACATGTCTGTTGGGTATGGATAAACTGGAGTTGGTGATCAGGCTCTTGTGGAATCTAGACCCTGGTTGCTCTAGAGAAATATAACACAAGCCAGATACATACATACATCTGAGAATGTGGGCAAACTGAACTCAGTTTCTCATATACTCGCATTCAGCAGTCAAACCCAAAGATTTCTGTGACTGGATGTGTGGGTATTTTTTCCCCCCACACACTAAGCAAGCAGTTAATTCTGCAGTGAACACCAGCTGGGTGTCCTCAAATTCAGTGCAATTCTGACCTCATCTGCCTGGAGACAGTGTCAGATCCCAGTGGTCGAGGGTTCATTCCCCAAGACCACCCCTTCAGATGGCAGTCGTGAACCCCAGGTTGTTTTACCTGTGCTTCTGACCTACAGAATTCTCATACCTCCTCCTCAGGTCCAACTCATTGGCTGCAGTGGCTCCCGGAACTCAGGGGAACACTTACTTACTTTTGGTTTATTATAAAGGGGATTACAAAGGCTACTGATGAACCCAGATGAAGAGAGGGTACAATGGCTCGAATATGGATTGACCCTCTCAGAAACTTAGGTTCCAACTTAATCCCCTGTGGGGCATCAGAAAGGTGGAAACAATCCTACTATATGGTTTAGAGGTGGGGCCCTTGGAAAGTGACCAGGATTAGGTAAGGTGAGCAGGGTGAGTCCCCCATGATGGAATCCTGGTGGCTTTATTAGAAGATGGAGAGAGACTAGAAGATGGAGAGAGACCAGCATGTGCAAGTGTGTGTGTGTGTGTGTGTGTGTGTGTATGTGTGTGTGTGTGTGTGTGTGTGTGTGTGTGTGTGTGTGTGTGTATTTTCCTGCTTCTTGTCTCCTGCCATGATGTTATTTATCATGATGTAATATAGCCAGAGGGGCCATTCCTAGGCCCTGTGGCATGCTATTTGAACTCTCAGTCTCGAAAACTGTGAGCTAAATAAATCTCTTTTCTTTTTAAAGTACCAAGCCTCAAGTATTTTGCATGAAAACAGAAAATGGACAGAGACAGGTGGAGAGGGCAAGGCATCTGGGAAGGAGCATGCAGCTTCCACGCTCTCTCTGGGTGCCCCACCTTCCAAGACCCTTCCCGTGTTTGGCTGTCCAGAGCTCTCTGAACACTGTCCTTTTGGGTTTTTAGGGAGGCTTCACTATATAGGCATGATTAATTAAATCATTGGCCATTGGCGGTCAACTTGAACTTCCCTGGAGCTTGGGGAATAAGGCTGAAGATCCCAACCCTTCAATCCCGACTTTCTGTTTCAGGGGACCAGCCCAATCCCGATGCTACCTACAGGCTGCCAGCCAGTAGTCAACTGTATAACCTACAAATGGGACACTTACCACTTTGAGATAACAGGAATTTGGGGAGTTGTAGGCCAAGATCAAATACTATTTCACAGTATCACAATGCCTACATAACTTAAAATGTTCAAGCAGCCAATAGTATACTTTGGATAACACTATAATTTTAGCATGTAATCCACATAAACACATTAGTATTGAGATATTACATTCTTTTTTCTCTAAGTACTAGGGCTGCTTTTTAAATTGACATATCATAATTGTACATACTTATGTGGTACAGTGTGATAATTTGAGACATGTTCACAGCGTGCAATGATCAATTTGGGGTAATTAGCATTCCCATTTCCTTAAATATTTACCATTTCTTTGTGTTGGGAAACTTCTAACTCCTCTTTAAAGTTCTTTATAAAATAAATTCCTGAGAATTATAGTTGCCCTACTGTGCTGTAGCATGTTCAACCTTAAGCCTTCTAGGTAACCATATTTTGGTTCTCATTATCCAACCTGCCTCTGTGACCAGAATTTTACTAAGTCTTTCAAATCTAGTATGTATTCTACACTTCTTGTGCATCTCAATTCATATGTTAAATTTTCAATGGTTAAAATGAAATATAGCCCTACCCAAACAATAAGTTGTTTTTAGAGGGAAAATATCTCATACTGTTCTGTTTTTTAAAAAAATTTAAATAATTAAAATTCAACCCAATTCAAAATTGGTTTCTTGGTGAGACTAACACCACTTCAAGTGCTCAGTAGGCATGTTTATAGCAAGTGGCTACCAATGTTGAATAGTTCAGGTCTATGTCCTTGCTACTCAGAGTGTGGCCCACGGACCAGGAGCATCTGCATCCCCTGGGAGCTGATTAGGAATGCTACACCAGACCTCCTGAGTCAAAATTTGTATTTCAGGAAGTTGCTCAAACGATCCCTGTTTTTGCTTAGGTTTGAGAATTCCTGGTCTAGAATTCAAGCCAAGACTTTGGGAATGTCTGAAGTCAATGATTATATTTTGCATGGACAAGGGAAGCCTCCAGGAAGCTATGATAATTGTATTCAAGTATTTCAAGACCTGTTGTGTGGAAGGTTGGGAAGCTGTGGTGCTGAGTGGGAGAGCTGGGACCACAGACAGAACTTTACAAAGCTCCCGTAGTCACATTGCAATCCTTGTAACAAAAGGACTGGATTTGGAGGTAAATCAGAAAAGCCAAGTCCAAATCTCACTTCTGTAAATCACAGAGCACTCTGAAGAAAGAATGAATTAACCTCTCTGAGCTTGCTATCTGTGAAATGGGAAAATAAAACCTTAGCATCCAGGGCTAACGTAAAGGTGACATAGGCAAGGACTGTGTCTGCTGTCTTTGCTGCAGCAAAGGTAGCTTGGCACAGATTCCACCCTCCATAACTATTTCTTTGTCAACTGGGCAAGACTCTGACTTGGGAAGGATGGCTATTAGTGCTTTTAGCAGGGTTGTGGTTCGAGGTGACAGGTCACATTTTTCAATCCACACAAACGAACACAGCCCCTGCACTGCTTCATCCCACTGAAAGCTCGTTTTTTTATTTACAGCTTCAAATTGATCTGGATCGATCAATCCTCAAACCTTTTCATCAAGAGAGTGAAAACAGAGAAGCAGGGAGGGGCGGGGAGGGGCTCCTCTCCTTCCTCCCTCAGTGGGCGGTGCTGGGTCTCTTCCCATTATTAGGACAAAATATCACCAAAGCAGAGTATGGGGACAGGAGGGAGGGAAGGAGGGTACCTTGGCCCAAAGGAACCTTGTGCATCTCTCTGCAAAAGACCCCGTCCCAGACTTGCCACGCCACATCTGTGCTTCTGTCAAGTAAACAGAGAATATCTACTGCTCTCAGGCAGGCACTAACATTAGCCCAGTAAGGGCTCTTTGGGGACCTGGGAAAGGAGGTTCACATTTGAAAATGAACCACTGTATGTGGATTTATGGCGCTGCTTTTCCGACAGAGAGGGGGAAATATTTTTCTCT